ATAGAAAAAGCACATATTATTCTCAATTCTTAAAATAAATTAAAATTTTAACCTTAAACTACTTTATTTTATTTAATTAAAACAAAATTTAAAATTTAAAAAATGCATCTTATTAAAGATCGATATTTAAATTTGAAAACTAATTATATTATAATATAAAACAGTGCTATAAGGATAACCTTTTAATACCACCTTTTGATATAACTTTCACATGTCATTAAATGAATTGATGCATTTAATATTACGAGTCCCACATAAATAAAAAAAATCAATCATTTAAATAACACGTAAAGTTGCACCAAAAGATAATACAAAAAAGATTGTCTTAAAATCATTTCCCTTAAAATATATAATTAGTTTCAAAATCTAAGTATCAATCCTAAGATGGATTTCTGAATTTTAAATTAAAATTTTAACTTTCAAATATAGATTAAGATTCTAATTTTTTTTAAAAGTCAAAATTGTTATGCATAAATATATACATATTAATATTATTTACGGTCAGGCTATTTCAAAACCAGCTTATAAGCACTCTATGTACCTCCACATTGAAAAATTAATATTTTTAGGAGTCTTGATTTATAAGACAACACATACTTATCCATGAACCTTATCTTGTACCCGATATAATGTTTTAGTTCTACTTCTAATTTCTAAAAGATGTTTTAAATAATTAAAAATTTAAGATTTTAAATTAAAGATCTCATATTCAAATCGTTTGAGATAAATGACAAGAGGCTATGAAAAAGGAAAGGCAAACTCTTATTATGTAACCCAATCATCTAATATACCAAAAAATATAATGTTTTAGTTCTCAATGAAATGATTAGACTCATGAGCATTGCATATTTACCCAATTCCAAAAATGATAATCAATATCAAACCTTCCAAAATCCATTTTATTCCGCTCATATATCAAAAAAAGGTTTAAGGTAAGTTAAATGCAATTTTTTAAAAGTTGTTCTGTGACTGGGATAATTGGCGTCATTGGTGTTAAAACATGAATGGTTAAACGAAACAAATACAATGATAATTCTTTGATGCCTATTAATTAACAAGTTAACAATTGATTACACGATACTATTAACTTAATTAATAATGTTGTTTAAGAACAAAAAAACAAAAAACTTAATATCGTTGAAATACTTGGGGTTTGGCTGTAAACTCTAGGAGTGGGTGGAAAACTCTACAATAATAAATAAATAAATGAAATCGATCAAAATTATAATTGATAAGTTAAACTTAGCAAAATTTTAGGTTTTTTGACTCGAGTTAAATTATAACTAAATTCCAATTGGGTGGGTTCTGGTTATTAGGGCTCAACAACAAAAAATCCAGTACTAGGCCAAGAACAACCGGATTTTTTAGACTTCATTTTTGGGGGTGAAATATAATGATTTTTAGGCTTTCTTGCCCATTTTCAAAATTTTTAGGCCTTTTCAAAATATAATAATTTATGAAATTTTTTTAGGCCCTCCCTCCTGTCTCCACCTCTCCCAGCTTCAAATATTGGCTAAATTTAACCCCTTTTTTTTTTCTTTAAATCAATGATTATTTAAAAAAAAAATTAACCAAAACAAAAAATAATAATTTTGGTTTAATAAATCATTACTAAAATTCAGTAACCAAATATTTAATTAACCGATGCTTGATTTTAATTGCAGTCAAAACCGAAACGTGCCCCGGCCTAATAAACTCCATTTGAAATTCACATCAAACTCTAATTTTAACCTAAGTTACAAATCTTAACAAAAAAAAATTATCTTCATAAATACACCAAAAAAACAGACAGAGCAAAACAAAAGAATGAATAAGAGTAAAGGTGCAAATAAGGATTCCAACTTTGCACTTTTTTTTATTTAAGGATGTTAAATTTGTCAGTTTCTAAATAAAGATATTAACTTTTAATTTTTTTCTAAATAAGGATGTTAACTTTGTCAGTTTCTAAATAAGAATGTTAACTTTCAACATTTTCTATTTAAGGATGTCAACTTTTAACTTTTTCTATTTAAGGGTTAATTAAACAGTAATGTTGAGTGGCTAACATATTTTTTAGGTTAAATACCTAAATTGGTCCCTCAACTTTTATTTTTGAACCAATTCATCCTAAAACTTCAGAAAGCACCAAAAACATCCTTCAACTTCAATTTTCAATTAATAAAATTATTTCCTAATTCATGGAAGAATTAATTAAATTTTATTTAATTTTATTAAATGGTAGGTGGGACTAATTAAATGGGAAAATATATTAATTGTTTTAATTTTTAAATATAAATAAAGTAAAATTAAGAATTAAAGTAGTTTGTAAATTATTTAAAATTTAAAAAATCCACATAATCATCTTTTACATGATGGATTTTCCACCTAATATTGAAAATGTAAAATAATCAATCACTTAGCAAAAAAATTAGCTACATCAACATTTAATTGACAGAAAGACAAAATTGAAAATTGAAGTTGAAGGACTTTTTTGGTACTTTTTGAAGTTTAAGGATGAATTGGTTCAAAAATAAAAGTCAAGGGACCAATTCAAATTTTAACTTTAAAAAATATGTTAAACACGTCAACATCACTATTCAATTAATCCTTAAATAGAAAAAGTTGAAAGTTAACATTTTTAAATAGAAACTGTTGAAAGTTGATATCCTTATTTAGAAACTAATAAAGTTAACATCGTTATTTAGAAAAAAAATTAAAAGTTAACATCCTTATTTAGAAAAAAATTAAAAATTAACATCTTTATTTAAAAACTGACAAAATTAACATTTTTAAATAAAAAAAATGCAAAGTTGGAATCCTTATTTGTGTTTTAACTCGAATGAATGAAATAGAAATTCAAAAACAGTTCTTCCTATCCTACTACCCGTTCACTCCTAACTGCAAAACCTAACTTTTCTAACTGTCAAAATGAAGCAGAATAAATATAAACAAACTCTCAGATTTTTTCCTCCGGTAACCGGCACCGGCGATTCCTCTTCTACATGCATATTCATCTCTTGATTCTCCTGATCTCAACGATGTCTGTCGTTGAGGGTCAAGACGTGAATCGGAATCATGAACTTATGGGTTCAAAGTTTTTGAAGAGGAATCAGACGAGGTCCGGTAAGTGCCACACCCACTACCGCCGCCGCCACCACCACCACCACCACCACCATTCTCATCACCGGAGGAAGTCTTTAACGACGAAGAACGGCCCCGTCTCTGTAATCACGTCATCAGACGGTTCTATGGTAAAATACCGTCGCCAACTGGTCAAGTTTTTTTCAAAAGTGGTGCGCGCTGTAATCCCTAAATGCGACGGGCGCCGCTCCTCCATGGAGTTCCAGATCCTCCAACGTAAAAAAATTGATAACTTCGAGAACGAGCCCGGCCCAGCGCAATTCGATTTCGAATTAGAAGCGGATTTCGTTCTTCCGATTGTGAACCGCCATCTGCTTCCGCCGTTGGCCACCGATAAAAGGAGGACAATCGTTCTCGATTTGGACGAGACCTTGGTACATTCGAGACCCGACCCACCTCCGAAATCGTACGATTTCGTCGTCCGACCAGAAATCGAAGGACAGACGGTGCCTATGTACGTCCTGAGGCGCCCTGGGGTGAACGAATTCTTGAAGGAGATCAGCGAGAAATTCGAGGTAGTGGTGTTCACGGCGGGGCTGAAGCAGTACGCGGCACTAGTGCTGGACAATTTAGACCCAGAGGGGCGGATATTTACCCACCGTCTCTATCGGGAATCGTGTAAGGAGGCACGGGGAAGGTATGTGAAAGATCTATCGGAGTTGGGGAGGGAATTGAGGAACGTCGTGATCGTCGACGATAACCCCAAGTCGTACACGTTGCAGCCGGAAAACGCGATTCCGATAAAGGCATTCGTGAATGATCTGGAGGACAGGGAGTTAGAGAAGATTACGGGGTTTTTCAGGCGCTGTGGTGTTTTTAGGGACATGAGGGAGGCGGTGAAGCAATATCTCAGCCGTGGGAGGGCGGCGGAGATGGAGATAACGAAGGCAAACGATTTTGCTAGCAACCGTTGGTTGAAATCCATACGAGAGCCCTCTGATGAATTTTCCACTCGCGATCAACATTAACAAGAAAAAATATATATATTTTAGATATGGAAAAAAAA